TGGTTTATTTATCATTTATATTGAAATATTATTGAATTAAACTTTGGATTTCCTCGGTAATAGTTTTTTTTATTATTATTATTATTATTTTAAATAAATCTTTGTTTTTCCTTAAAATTGTAATATTTTGCCTGATTTCCTGTGAAAAAACCCCCTTGAGTTTTTGTGAGTTCCGCTTTAATCTGGCTGAATTTTACAATTTTAAAGGAAATAATGGGAAATAAATACAATATTTCTTCCTTTAAATCAAGACTAAAAACACATTTGTTTAGGATTGCCTTCGAGTGTTCTAGTTAAACAGTTCAACTAAAACATATTTTCTTTAGTCCAACTGTTTTTAATATTCTTTTTTGTTTATTTTATTTTATTTATTTTTTTCTACTTGCTTTGATTCTGTTTTATCTTCCTGTATTTTAATCATGTAAAGCACTTTGCATTGTCTTTGTACTGAATTCTGCTATACAAATAAATTTGCCTTGCCTTGCCTTGCCTTACAGTCAGAGCAATAAGTTTCAAATTGAAAACAGTGGTGCCAATGAATATGGAGAGCATCTTCTGCTCTGATGCAGCAACCATACATTTTTCTCAAAAAAAGTTTTGCATCAGTTCTTCTCCTCAGCCTTAATTATGTTTATAAGGGAAAATGCTAAAACCATTATCTACTCCTGAGCCGTCACGACAGGTATACAAATCACCGCAGACATCTTCAGCTCACTTCCTGTTTTCATCTTCACAGCATGCCTTTTTTAAGATGGTATCCAACATGTGTATTAAGTCCTTCCTGACAGAAACTTCCGTCTGCGACCGCAGCCCTTTAAGATTTCTAAACGATGCTTGTATTTATGGTGGCAAATGGTTTGAAACCATCCAGTTTTAATGAGTATATAGTCACAGTATAACTGATACTTCACTATCCATGTGCATCTGTCTGCATGTTTGTGTTTATATCAAGAAAACCGAAGGGTCTAATGTGCATCATGTAAGTATGAGGCCTTAATATCAGTTTCTTGTTCCTGTTTCATTTCTGCTCACATGCAAAAAGATGCACACAGACTGTCGAAACCAACCAAATTGTACCTCACTATAGCCCAAGGGTGTACATGGGAGTGATGAATGTGCAGAGAATTCTGAGTGCATCAGCCAAAGCCAACAGAGAAATTATCCATATTACCATCCTCAGCTTTTCTGCAGAATTACAGCGTGCTGGGCCTGTATTACCACCCAAAAAGACTACGTGGTATGAGATTCAGCCAGCAAGAATTCATCTCCTGCATCTTAAGATTAACTTCTAAACTGTTCAAATATTAGGATATGAGTTCATTTTGGGGTTTAGTAGTTGTAGACTTTGTAATGTTTCAGAGAATATAGTCTTCACCCTCAAACGTTTTAACTAATAGTGTTGTTGCTAGGCATATGCTTTAAGTCGCTGAGGGGTTCAGTTTGCTGGGTTGATATGCAGTTATGAAAATAAAAACTTTTTGCCCTGAGAAATCCCAATAACTCCAACAGAGCCCAATATATTACATAACCTTGCCCTGAAAAGGGTTTCTACTTTTACAATAGTCTTTAAACATTTCTAGTGGCACAAATAGGGTAAATATTTACATATATACAGAGGTGCATTTTTATCATTTTATATATAAGTCATGTTTTTTTGTTTGTTTGTTTGTTTATGACGGGATAGAGAACCCAAGGGTGATAAAAAATCCAAACTCCAGGCAGCAAACCCCCTGACTGGAATTCAAATCGAGGATCTTATTGGTCCAAAGCAAAAGCTCAACTAGCTTCACTGTGCAGCCTAAAGCATCACCAATACGTTAAATGTTTTCAGTTGTTTAGCTAACTGTGGGGCACTGAAATAATGCACCATAAATTCTGGACTCATTACACACTTACTGATACATTTTGAGTTAGTATTTCTCATTCATTTTGGGGATTATGGTTTCCGGAAAATAAAAACCCTGAGATACTGTTTGTCAAACAATTCTAATATTACATAATAAAGAAATTAATCTAGAGCTATTTAGGGCCTTCCACAATCAAGAACAACATGGTTCATTTGGCAATTGTTTAAGTGGCATCACTGAAGAAGCTGAGTTTTCAGATAGATGAAGGGAGATTTAAATTGGAAAAAGGTCAAGTAGGAAAAGTGCACAAGAACTGATAATTACCACATACTTTAGAAGAACTTTGAAGCAAACACTATTCAAGAGTTCAGGGGAGATTCATAAGGCATTGGTGGGCTTGTTAAGTCAGAGCTTTAAGGCTGCTTTTGTTGCAATAAGTTCTTCTGAACAAAAAACAAAATCAAAATCCGTTTTACCCGAAGTACTTAGTAGTCTAAAGTTCTCTTTTTGGAAATCAAAGCTGAGGCAGAGCATATATGCTGTGAATTTGTGGTCCAGTGTAAAATAAATTATATAGAAAGCCATGCCATCTGCTAGTGTTGGTTCATTATGTATATAAAGTCCTAAAGTCATGGCTCCCTGATGAAACCCAGTAAGAGTTAACATTAGCTAAAGAGCCAATACCTGCTTTAACCACCAAGCCATCTCATAGTTCATTTCAGGCAGACTGGCCTAAACCCAGAAATAATCAATAGGGTAATATCAAGAGAGAGATGAGAGACGGTGGATCCAAACAGCCACAGCATGATCATCTCCATGCCACACCAAAATGCAGAAAAAATACATATTTTTAAGTAGATTTAAACTTTTTTAAATCCTTATTTCATTGTTTTGAGTTAATACTCTAGTTTTCTGGGAAAGTGAATTTCAGTTCATCATTAAGTGTAAGCAACACTTCTTAGAATTAACAAAAAAAAAAAAAACACTGAAAAAATTGTTTTTGTATTTAAATAAATGACTGAGGCTGTTCAGTGGAGGAGTGGGTAGCACTGCTGCTACCCACTTGGGTCTTTCTGAGTTTGCATGTTCTCCCTGAGCATGTGTGGGTTCTCTCCGGGTACTCCGGCTTCCTCTAACAGTCCAAAAACATGACTGTTAGGTTAATTGGCTTCTCTAAAGTCCCCTTAAGTGTGAGTGTGTGTGTGAATGGTTGTTTGTCTTGTATGTCTCTGTGTTGCCCTGCGATGAACTGGCAACCTGTCCAGGGTGTACCCCGCCTCTCGCCCAATGGCAACTGGAGATAGGCACCAGCACCCCTCGTGACCCCACTTGGGATAAGCGTGTAAGAAAATGGATGGATAAATGACTGAACAAATGAAGCATCTGATGATATTCTGACTAGGGCTGGGCGATATGCACTTAAAATCTTAGCATAAATTGAGTAATATTCCCCCAGTTTCTAGAGTTTCTAATCATTATTGATTCAAATTTATTGTTTAGTTGATAAATCAAAATTCTTACCAGGACTAGAAACTTGTCCAGATAAAGTTAAACGATATGATAACTGCCTGTACCGCTAATTCTGACTCATTGAGATCCACCTTCTGGCTGGGTGACAAATCTAGCAATGCTAGGAAAGCACTAATGAATAACTTTCACTCATGCCAATCCACACTTGCTTCAACCTTTACTGACACACTGAAGCAGAGGCCTTATTAAGGGGGTAGAAAAAAGGTTGTGCCATGCAAAGGGGTGGGGGGGTGTCTGGATCTAATCTATGTGCTGCAGCACTCAGACATCCTTTCCTCTACGGATAAGACATGTTCTCATCAGCATGTGGTTGTCCACAATATGTTTTCATAAGATGTAGACTGGGGGTCTGTCATAGAAGAAGCAGAAAAAAGGACTCCATGGTGTTAAGCTTTTCAAGATCATTTAGTTTTTTGTTTTTTTTTTAGATAAAGCAAGAACCTAACAGGTGTTCTTGAGTAACACGGATGCTGCAAGAGTTTCGCTTCTGAGTAACATTTCCCCTGCCACGTAATTTTAGCCTCACTTCTTGCACGAAAACAGGAATTTAAACTTTACAACCAATGAAATCAAACGAAGAAAGAAAAAGTATCCCTCTCAGCAGCTCTGCTCTGACTCTTTCATAGAATATTTTCCTGCATTTTAAGTTTCAAGTTATACTAAAAGGACAACAGTAACAATTGTTCTTATAAAATTGAACCAACAAATAGCTTTCATTTATTATTTAATTTGTTATCTGTTTGTTAGATTGTTTATAGAAAGAAAAATATTCCCAATTGGTGACATAGTACAATGGCTTATCTATCGGTAAGTAGAGACTGCAGTTGCTTAGGGGCCCCCGACCTCTTAGGGGCCCCGTCACTGCAAAAAAAATCCTCTTAAACCCACCTGATACTAGTTTGACTGACCGGATATATACCCCAACACACGCCTGATTTCAACATGATGGTGAGCCGTTTAAACACGACACCAATAGCGAAGCAGACAGTGGTACTTTTAATTACTACCGTATGTTGATAACTATGTATAGTTCATCAGACGGTTGGTAAAAAATACACTCATATTATATGTTTCAAACCGCAATAAAGATCTTAAAAGAGCGACGTATATGAGTATTTTATTTTTTACAATACGATTTGGAATTGTGGGTAATCCAGCACGTAGATTAAAAAAACCATAACAGTTATGTACATGTGTTGGCGGGTAGGGGATGGCGGTGTTGTACTTCATATGGGGCCCACCCAGATAATGTTACACGATTGATATAGTATGATGGAATAAACTAATATAAAACAGAAAATTAATAAATAGAAATTTCTAAATTATATTTATATTAATTTACAGGGGCGGCGTATGGGGGTGGGGGGAGTTAGGAAGATTCTAAGGGGCCCTGGATCTGGGGTCTGGATTCATGTGTACAGCGATACAGCTGTATTTTGGGTTTTATATCAGCAGTTATTAATTTGATGGGGTGATTTTTAATGTAAAGTTCAAGGTTAATGTAAATTTTACAGTTTATTTTACAGTTTTATTGATTAATTTTTTGATTGATATATAGATATACTCACACATATATATCTAAATAGTTTATATAGGTTTATGTATGAATATATTAATACTCACATTCCTTTGTCCCCATAGGTATTGTAAAACTCCATATGGTTACACGCCTGAATCCAGCCGATGGTCCATGTCTCTTTGGTTGCTATAGGAGGCACCAGAAGCCGCGCTTGAGCTCGGAAGTGCGGCGTCCGGTAGCGCAGGACCACGTTTGACGTCTCGTCGATGCTGGTGGGGTTGGAGTCAATGGAAGCATTCAGCTCCAGGACGATAACGCTGTCTCGGAAACTCTTGGGCTTACACTTGATGCTCTGGATGCAGCCCATCGCACTGAATTGGAACACAGTCCACAAAAAAGCCCAAAGTTCTGGAGGAGAAGGAGGAGGAGGAGGTGAAGAAAGAAGCATGGAAACAGCAGGAAGAACCACCATCAGTTTTGACCTACATGTTCCTCTCTTCCTCTCCCCTAAAGCAGTCTACAAAGCCCAAAAAAAAAGTCAATAGTAGAAAAAAAGATCCAATACTGTCACTGTAGAGGCAGGCAGACCAATAGAAAAGCCTCACAGCTGCAGACCGCATGCTTTCCGGTACGAAAATGCAACTTCACTTGCAGAAGTTGGGCATCACAACTTTTCTGATGCGTACACACAAGGTTGCATGTTGTCACCCATGCAAATGTCTGTATTTAAAACAGGTAACCTAGAGGTAATTTTGGCAAGACCCGAGACAAGAGCTAAATTATTAAAAGAAACTACTAATGTTACATCTTGGGGTCTGATTTCCTTTTGTATAATTCATCAGAAGATAATCCCCAGCCAGAAGAGCCGCTGACATGAACCATGATCAAAGAACATTGTTGTAGATCAGTTAGAAACATAATAAATGTAGTCCGGGTGTATTAATCTAGTCCTCCAGTTCCTCGTGAAAATTTGATTTGACGATTTATGACAGCTGGATGTCGGATTAAGGGTTCGTGCAGTGTAAGTGCAGGCTTTTTGTCTATTTATAGCGGCTTAAAAACAGCATGCAAAAACAGGTCTACCTATGAACCAATAGTGTGTAAAGAATCCAGTGTTTTCAGCGGTGTGAGATTCCAGAGAGAGGGAGAGGAAGGCGTTGACTGTCACAGTTCTTCGGTCTTAGAGGTAATTCCGTTATCCGCTCCTCTATAGCGGCGGCGGCTGCAGTCACCGTCCCACCGAGAGAGGTTAGACATCCCCGGTAGATTTTAAGAGCGATCTCTGCGACATCCAAAGGACACCACTGGGTCAACTTTTTTGCTCCAGTTCCATATTTATTATAGAAAAATATTCAATTCCGAAATTGAAAAAAGGAAAAAAAAAATCAGACTTAATCAGCAAAAAATAAATAAATAAAGGAATGTTGTTACATTGTTCGAGCGAGCTAATCGTAGGCTTTCATTTCGGTTTTTATAAGCAGCTCTTAGAGGAGATTCCTGAGCGAGCTGCCAGGTCTCTGTCACCGTCCCATCGTAACAACGGCAGGTTCACCCAGCTGCTTGCAGCGCCACCGGGGAAGCAGCTTTATAAGCATCTCCATGACGACACTTCCGCCTTGAACGCTCTGCACGCTGGGAAACGTAGGCAGCGTCAGATTCACATTTATTACTGTATAATAGACTGTTTTATTGTAGATTTATTTACTATCACAGGGAGAATGAAAAGACTACAGAAGAGGATTAGGGCCACTGGAAAAAAAAAAGTTAACTGATTTTAAAATTTTATGTCAGTATAATATGAACAAAAAGTCAGAATTCTGACTTTAGTCTCAGAATTCTGACTTTAATCTAAGAATTCTGACTTTAGTCTCCAATTCTGACTTTTTTCTCGGAATTTTGACTTTAATCTTAGAATTCAGAGCTAATGTTAATATCTCCTGCAGTCTACCATTAATATTATAATTAACAGCATTTTTAGCCACAGCCACTGCTTTTGATGAGTGCACAAATAAAAAAAATACTGAAATAGTTTAAACAGGTGTAAAGCTACTAATACGATTTGTTAAATAATATTTCAGTTTAACAATTTCTATATCTTGTCATGTCAATGCCTATTTAACTATTTTAATTACCAATTTAATGAAGAAGTACATTTTACTCGTGGTTCTTTTGGAGTTCCATAATAAGCGGGGTTATCGGCAGTGGTCCATCTTTTTAAGCACCTTGGAGAACTCCGCTTTACGTAAGTGCGCACCGCTGAATCTGAATTGTGCGTAACCTACGCCATATATGCGCAGCAGAAGCCAGATGCTGCACTGTCACAGCTCTCTTCACCCTCGTCTTTTGTTGTCAGGGAGTTGCTAGATCTAGAATCTGCCGATCGCTTCCTGAATGTGAGAGGTGAGATGGATGCAGGGGAGAGCATCTGGGGGTGTGGGGACTGAGATGTTTCGTATTTCTGGCACATTTTACGCAGAGCCTTATAGGCTATAAAATGCTCATGTTGATATTTTTGTGTCCATGCTGTAGGCCGAGGTTTCACAGGATTGGCTGGAAGCTGATGACATTCATTAGCTGCGCTCTGCCTGTCTGTATGATATAAACAACTTGGACATTGCATTCTCCAGACTCTAAATATAGCATTTAGGGCCACAGTAGGGGGAGGACGGGTGTTTTTCTGGGACATTTCACCGTTGTGGTGATCTTAAACCATCTGAATTACCTCCCTAAACTCAATCGGTTATTGTCCCCTCAGGGAAAATATAATCTAACATGCCTTCGGCGAACAACGTTAGATCCAGGGCGCGGGAGAGAAACAGCATCTTGAGCAGACCCGAGTTCATGTCTCTCAACCAGCCCCTCCGTGGAGGCTGCGGACCCCCGGACAGCCGCTGCGCTCCCAAACGCGCGGCTCAAAACAAGCCCCAAAGCATCCAGAAGAGCGAAGAACCTATCGACGGCGGCAGCAAGGACAGGAGAGAGTCCACCAAGATGCCCGATGAAGACTGCATGCAGCTGAACCCTTCCTTCAAGGGGATAGCGATGAACTCCCTCCTCGCCATTGACATCTGCCTGTCCAAACGCATGGGGGTGTGCGCCTCCACGTCGTCCTCCTGGGGAGGCTGCCGATCCATGGTGGCCCTCTTGGCGCTCACTGGGCATGGCATCACGTGGATCATTGGCACTATCATATGTCTGACACGGAGCAACACTCTAGCTGGACAGGAGGTCCTGGTTAATCTGCTGCTGGGTAAATATCACGTGACTTTTAGATATTTAAATCTGCATTTTTCAGAGTTTATTACCTAGAGCCAAAACTATACAAAGACAATCAATCCATAACATGCATAATCTACATAATATGCAGGAAGGAGATTATATTTTAAGTATTTACATTTTCTAAATAAAAAGAGGTGAAAAAATTTGGCAACATGTTCTATGGATGCATCATCCTAATATGGTCACTTTTCCTTAATGCTTTTGTATTTCAGAATGTAGAATTAAGTCCTGTTTCTATAGCCAAATCTTAGCCTTGTTATTAATCTATCCTCATTTCTGCATCTTCCTCTAGTTATAAATTCTTCCGTCTTTTGATCCAAAATACGTCTTCCTTTTCTTTCCCCATTCTATTACGCCATTCATTATTCATTTTCTTTATTTATGATACTGATTTACTTATGTGTACCTCATTAAATACATGTTGGTGTGTTTGTACTAACAATTATAGAGATGGATCAATTACTGAGCGAAATCAACTCACTAATGTTGTAACATTAAATGAACTAAAATGAGCAGCACCACTTACATATTGCTAGTAGTAGGTCGGACCCCTTTTTCCCTTCAGAACTGCCTTAATCCTTAGTGGCATATATTTACAGGAAACATTCCTTGGCGCGTTTGGCCAACAGTGACTTAATATCCTGCTGCAAATTTGTCGGCTGCATATCCATGATGCAAATCTCCTGTTCCCCGGCATCCCAAAGGTGCTCTATGGGTTTGAGAAACCTATGACTGTGGAGGTCATTTTAGTGCAGCAAACTTATTGTCATGTTAAAGAAACCAGTCTGAGATCATTCACGCTTTATAGCATGGCACGTTATCCTCCTGGAGGCCATCAGAAGATGGGTACACTGTTGTCATAATTGGATGGGTATGTCTACATGCCTGGATGCACTGAGTTGCTGACGTGTGATTGGCTGACTGGAAATTTGCGTTAGCAGACAGATGGACAGGTGTACCTAATAAAGTGGTCAGTGAGTGAGCCTCCTCTGCATTCAGTCTCACCTTTTATAGAATGAAGTGTGTTAAAATATGTGGATGCAGAAAAAGACAAAACAAAAAAACCTGCACAAAGTGAAGCAGTTTTAACTGTTATGGTCTAACTCCCACATTTATCAATGGGTTTTGTTTATTTATTTTTCAGCTATCGAATAAAAAGCTGTTAGAAGTTCACAATGATACTGACTGTACCAATGAGAGCAATGAAAAGGCTAAATCGTCTTTGAAATAGTTTGTTAGAGCAAAAAGGAAACAAGGACATAGCCTAGTTTTTAGAAAGCTCTGTGTTTACAAGAGACTGTAAATGCTGCCGATGCGCCACTCAATATGTGCAGCCCTCTGCTCTCTATTGGAAGAGGACATACTTCATCATAGAAGAACAATTAAATATAACAGAAAAGATAACCAGTTTTTTAAATGTTGTCACATTGCTACTGTTAAGATGTGATGTAACAGAAAGCAAGTTCTTTAGTGGAATTGTTTGTAATCTATATGGTTTTCCAAAAATGTAGAAAAGTGTGCTATCCACAGATTTGTATACCGGTAAATTGTTATCCCTAAGTTTCATAACAGAGTGCAATATATTAAGCAGTACCAAGAGCTTCTTATTAGGTCTTACCAGCTTATATAGGCTGGGAAAAAAACGCACCCCACAGCATCATACTGCCACCACTCTATTGCTCTATGGGCATTTTGTGTTCAGGGTAATATTCAGTTTTACATTTCTCTCACATTGTTGTTGTTTTATTGTTTGCTTTTTAGTGTGCTGCTAATTATTAGGTTTTTGGTCTTATGTGGCCACCACCTTGCAAACGTTTGATGTGTCACATGGTTTGTGCAGAACTGCCAACTAGACTTCTTAAGGTCAGATTATAGAAAAGCATAATTAATAGTTGTCATTAGATTTTAAGACGTTCCCAAATTCATGTATTTCCAAACAGCACAAATTGAAAAAGGTTTAATCATAGTTACAGTGAAATCTTGCAGCAAGTTTAATCAAGAAGGAGCCTTTTTATTTGGTGTTTCTATTCGCAATGTGCAAGATAGCTTTATGATAAACTTTGGCTGTCTGACTAAAGTGTGTCATCTGAATTTAAAGATCTACTTATTAAAAACTACTTAGAATGCTTTAATATTTGAATTTTTTTTCTATAGAAAAGTCTTAAAACAAGGCATAAATCCTATACTCCAAAATAGTTTATTATTTAGGACTATCAATATATTGTAATATGATTGTTTTAGTCTTTATGATGCGAAAGGATAGCAAGGACATTGAGTTTGAATAAGGATATATTTTCAAATTACAATAAAAGTTATTGTTATTATACATTTGATGCGATATCTTATGTGCAGCCTTATTTAAAGACTTTACAAATAAGCTTCCTTCTGTTTACTTTTAAACCTGCATTTAAGACTTATAAGGCCTGATCTTTAATGCATGAGTTACAAATCTTACAGGAATACAAGACATTTGGAAGTCCGTTAATTATTGACTGAAAGTGTTTTTGATTATTAGATGACTAATCTGATAGTTTATTTGATTGAATATAATGCAGGTTTTTTTTTATTTCTTTTGTGTTATTTTAAAACGAATGTCTGAAAATGTCTACATATGACAGAATGCTTCCATTTATCTATAGAGGATCCTGCATTTATATCAATGAGACGGAGATCTAGCTTTGATAAATGCATTTAAATTACATCTGGATCTACTTTGGATCATTCTAACACATGGATATGCTTTGACTTAAACCATGCCTCTGTAGCTCTAGCTGCAGGCTGCAGCAGGTTCTTGCTGGAAGGTGAATTCTAGTCCAGTTGAAATCTTCAGCTACAACAAAAACCTTTCACGTAGAGGGTGTGTTTAGGATGATTACCCTTACTATAGTTTGTCGCCATTACCTGCTTTATCCGGGACCAGGTCATAGGGGCAGTAGTCTCAGCAGGGAGTCCCAGACTTCCCTCTCTGCAGACACCTCCTGCAGCTCTGCTTGGGGAAGCCAGAGGCGCTCCCAGGCCTGCTGAGAAACATAGTCCCTCCAGCGTGTCCTGGGTCGTCCCCTGGTTCTGCTCTCATAGGACACACCTGGAATATATCCTGGGGGGGGGCATTCAGGGGGCATATGAATTTGCTATTATGCTACTTTATAGTTATATGCCCATGTAATTGTAATAGCTTGAGTTTCAATATAGATTATTGGTTACAAAGTCCAGCTCAACAAGTAATAAGAGGCTCTTCCAAAAATATTCAAGCTTGTTTGTAGAGCACTACCACTACTACATTTTTTAAGTGGTGGTTATCATCATGGCCACTATGAGCTTTTGCGCAGTATGCGGCTGAAACCTCTACTTTTAAAATGTTTGCAAAAAGCAAATGATTCTGAGCCTCCTTTCTCCTCCGTCTCTCCCATTGGA